ACATAAAATACTCTCACTTCTCTTATATTATAGTTTAATTACTTCTCAAACTTTAATTGAGTAGTAGAACTAGTACCCGGTAGCATTTGGAATTGCTGGTGGCTAGCTACGGCGGAGGAAGAAGAAGCAGACGAAGGAGGGAGAGGACGCTTTCGCTTCTTCTTCTCATAGCTAACACCTCTTGCTTTGCTCTGCATATCTCTAACCTCCCTTAGGTAAAGCCTAACGGCACGAGCTCCAAAAGGGTTCGTCTCAGGCTTGCCTCCGTTCTCTTCAAAGGCAGCTCTAAGACGGCCGATGAGTGCGTCAAGACTTCCCCAAGCTTGTCGGAGAGGACAAGGACACGGTGCCGGAGGATTAGGATGGCCGTAGAAGTGACAAACGTTCGTGTGGACTTTTGTCTTACCGAATTGGTCCAAGTAACGGAGGAACTCGAGCACGTGAGCTCCACTGCATCGGGATAGCGAAAGCGGTGGCCGATGGTTCCTTAAGTACTGTCCGAACGTGTTCCAGTCTCTCCTCTTCTGGTTCTCGTAACGGCTTGAGTTAGCCGACGGCGATGAAGACGGTGGTTGTGTTGCTCCGCCTACGACGGTTCCGGTGACGGAGGAGGAGTTGTTCGTGATGATGCTAAGGTTTGAGACACCTCCGTAAGCTGAAGAGCCTTCCATCAATTGAGGAATCATATCCATTTTTCTTTAAACGGATCGATCGATGTTGATGATAAGTTCTTGATTCTTGATTCTTGATCTTTCTTGGTGGATATGGAGGAGCACAAATTGTGTTTGTGCGGTTGGGAGATATAAGGTTTACTTTGTGCAGATATATATATTTTGCGTATTAAATTGGTATATATTGAGAATGTTATTATAATTAGAGAAATTAACTTTTTCGGGTTTTTTTTTTCTTCTCCTGTTTTGATTTTTTATACTACTTGAGATAAGTGGACTATAGTTTTCATATCTTTACTCTTTTGTATCCATTGTTTTGTTTTGTCTCCATTTGATAGATAAGTACCCGGTTTGGTGTTTTTAACGTAATATTTTGTAATTCATGTCTGATTGGGACAATACTAAACTAACGTTTGTTAATTTTTCTTTCTATCAAGTACTACTACTAAACTAGAACTGAAGAAGGATCATTGAACTCTTGGATTCGTTTTACTGGATATACATTAATCTTAAATACTCTAATTACTTGGTAAAATTATAAAAAGAGAGAAATGGTTTGTAGCTTTTAGAAAAATATAAAACGAACGTATAGTTTTTACATTTGGCTTCATGATTTGATAAAGACTTGTAAGCTTGGATGTCTCCTTACTCTTCTTCTCTCGTCATATTTACTTTTCTCAATGGAAAAATAATTTTCTGTCGCTATAGAAAAGCAGAAATGGAGTTGGGTATTTAGGTGTGGACAAAGGCAGCCAGAAAAAAAAAAAGTTTGAAAAGGATGGAAAAATATTATTCAAACATAATTTTCAATATTTTAATTATATATTTCTATCAATACTGTAGAAGTGATTGACAGTTCCTTGTTATTTTACAAAAATAGCCCTCAATTCTTCTCCCTTGGACACATATGAAAAGGGCTTTCCTTCGGACCATTGTGCAAAAGATCTTTTTTTTTTTTTTTTTATCTATAAATATTTAATTTTGTCCGACAAAAAAACAAATTATTTAGAGCATGTTGCATGAAAATGGTAAAAAATATATATAAAAAGAGCCAAGAAGAAAGCTAGACCATAGACATTGACGCTCGTCTCCCCCTTTCAGTAAATTAATTCACCTTTTTCTTTAACACTTACTTGTTTAGACAATGATTATCATCAACATTTGTTTTTTTTCTTTTAATTGTTACAAAATGTATTACTCCTTTAAAGAAGAAAACAAATAGAGTTGATGGAAACTTGCTGAATCTTTCGTTTTTCTCATTTCCATGCAGTGTCATGGTTATATTTTGTATGTATATTTCATTCTCTTGTATGTCACCAATAATGTTAGATTAATAATAAAAGTTATATAGTGACATTTCACATATCAAAAGAGAAAAATAGAGACATTAATTTTTCTAGATCCAAAACCAAAACTAGTACCTAAATTTTCGTATAAAATTAATTTACTTTAAATAATAACTGGGATTTGAGAACTAAATTTAACATCGTATAAAAACATAAATATGTAATATACCAATTGAACAGTACTCTACCATTAGCATTATTAGGTTAACATTGTCGAGTTGCTCCACAATTATATTCTGGCACTAAAACTACAAAATAAGTCCTCGTTTACATAAACCCCTAAAAATGTATAAACTACACATCATTCGTAACACACTATAGTAAGTCTTAAAACACTTTACTTTCCTCAACTGTTTATCTTTTGAACACGACACAAATTGCAATTAGCTAGGTACTAGCAGTGGCTCGGACTTCGTAACACTACTTTTGTTACTATCGACGAATATTTTTAAGTAACCAGTGTACTCTCTTGGTACAACATTTGCCTTACGAGTTATCAAACTATTATTAAATTAAGTATCCTCAATACGTTGAGGGCATCAATGTTTTGCGTGCACATGCACAATTTTCATGTGTTTGAGAGCTTAAAAAAAATTGTTTATACATGCTAATAGCCATCTCTCTTTATGAACAGGAAACTAACTCCAGACATCAACGACAATTATGTCGTTCTGTCACGTTGTTCTTTTCAAAACTTGATCCGGGGGTAAATTGTACTATTTTAGGGTGTAACGATAATTGTTTTCAATATTAAAAATTGCATAAAACTCTCTATATGTTTTCTATGAAACCTATAATAACAAGGAATCACTCAATCAGTAATCGAATAAGTTACACATATTTTAGGTTATCGAACGCACCTCGAGGTCTATAAAGGTTAAGAACAAAAATCGGAAAAAAAGAGAGAATGATTTTAGAAAAAAACTTTTGAATGTACTGAAAGTGGCAAGAGGTTGATAATAAATAAGAAGATAAAATTAGAGATGGGACCTGACATCAGTCAATGTCACATACTAAATGAGGACAGTAACTTTAAATTTCAGAACACACAAACAAATTTACACCGACCTCTTTGTGTCCTTTTTTTATTTGTATCTAAAGACAACATGCACCCAATTTAATGCCACCTTATATTAGTTTTCAATTTCCTTGGATACATGAAAACATTTATTATATATTATGTTTCATAACATTTTACTTCACATGAACTAGAAAAAAAAATAGTGAAATAATAACATTTATATTTTTATTTGTTAGTAATTATATACTTGCTTGTCGTAGTAGATAACATGTTATTGTTGTTACTCGTGCTAACGATACAGGATTGTATTTACGCAAACACATTCATATCTTGCATATTCCATTAAATTTCCGCGTAAGAAATCGAGGATTCTAATCCTCTCCTTGCTCTAGGTGTGGAGCAGGAGAAGAGATGATAACATTTTACATTTTTTCTGTCTTCTATCTTTACAAACTTAAACTTTATAAGTGCTTTTTCGACACTAAAGTTTGGTTTGATGGCATTATAGCATTTTCAAAGTTGTTTATGGACACTACTTAATAATTACTTACATTCCAAACTTGGTGAATGGAAAAGTTTCTTCGTGTCACCCTAAAAAATAATAAGTCATGAGAGAAGTGTAGTTAGGACATGAAAATAAGTTTAACATGATACATCATTGGATCGGGGAGTATCCTCTCTCAATGTTTAGTTAAATGTTGATTAAGGAACCAAATGCTAAAGTAAATGGGTCTGTAGAATATGGAAACAAAGAGCCAAATTTCTCCCATGGGTTGTAAAAATAATACATTTGGTAGTAGTTATTTTGGTTCTATAATAATTCATCTCACGTGATTGGTTTGACAAATATAAAAAAAATATCATGCTCAATAATAGATAAGTACCATTCCATCTGTTAATCATTCTGCTTGATTGAGTGAAATTTTTTTGTCAAAAGATTTGGTAAAAATCTAGAAGTTGATTAAAGATAGAACAAAATCTTAAAATGGAACCCTACCACATTGCTTTCCCTATCTTTTGATAGTCCTGTCTTTTTCTTATAAAGTTATGGTTTTTTAGATTTTTTTTTGTTGATTTTATTATCTTAAAATGATTAAGTCCAATAATGATTTTAAATTACTGCCGCTAATCAAGTTGATTATATACTTATTATATAAGTGGAGAGAAGACAAATCTAGATGAGGACAGTAAACTCAATATCATTTCAAGTTTTAAATAAACGGGGCACAAATGTAATCAATCAAAAGTTTCAACGTTTCCTTAGATATTGAACAAAAGTAACACAACTAACATCGCTCTTTGAGTTTCAAACATTAACGGGCTTTTCTATATTATCATGGGCCTGAAATAAGGCTTTAGACCAAGTAAAAAGACAAGAAAATCAAAACTAGTTCAAGAAGAGAACGTTTTGTCCCACATCGTTCACCCAACTTATTTTGTACTTCTTTATATATCAGAAGAAACGAACATTGTACCGTCGAGCTAAGTAACGAAAGCTTGTGACCCGAGTGGGGACAATAAGATGGTGGAACATTGGTTCGGGTCCACGGGTCGGATCTGGTGTCGGCAAGTTTCTGAGCTGCCCAGTCCAAGCTGTGAGTTATCCCTCTGGGTTGATCGAAGGTTCATCCCAGGTGGGTGCTAAAGTCGGAGGGTAAAGCGTGAGGCTGGTTTCACAGAGCAGCGACTACTTCCCGCTTATAGCAGTGGACGGATTACGGCTCGGCGTCGCCCAGATCCACTATGGCCCGCTGGTTCGATCTCAGCTGAACCACTATTTTTTTTCCCCACTTCTTATTGGAAAGTTTTGGATTGGTTCGGTTTTGGTATACTTTTTACTCTTTTGTAATAGACGTTAAGTCTCGTATTAGATTAACTAAAACAGCATTACATTATGAAATGGTCTTTACAAAGCGAGGCCGACAAGCCAAAAAAACACAGCACCTCGTTGGAAAGGGAACATAAGTTAACAGTGTCGGTATATTGCTGCAAATACTGTATATATTTCAGGCTACAAACAAACACTGGTTTTCAAAAATAAAATCGGATTTATCATCATTGTTGTCATGATTTATTCTTTTCTCAAATTTCCAATCAAAGAACGCAATTTAGCTTTGACACATCCAACAAAAAAAACAAACACATGCAAGAAAGTGTTTCTCTTTTTATGCCTTGTGGTTTTTAGCCATCTCTTCCACGTCCAATTCTACGGCAAGGATTGGAGAATCGTGTCCCATTGCAGTGTGACTGATCAAAGGAGTTTAAAGAGTAAGAAAAAAGAGAGCTCATAAAAATGCTAATCAAGAGACAAAAATGACTGTTTTTTTTTCTAACCTGTTTCTAACGGGACCGTGATCGACAGCTGTCCTCAAACAATATATAGCTCTTCCAACAATGTCTGCTGTTGAAACGGGACCAAATGTTCGACTATCATATGCTTCCTGTTTAAAACATAGACAAGCATTATAGTCATCACTCATCAGAGAGACACTATCTGACTATATAGTTTGGGTTATGCTTAAGATCATTTCAGTGATGTATATACCTTAGCTTTTAGATCCTGGTTTTCAGCTATTACCCAACACTGATCCTTTTCGAGAACGAAAGGCTCCTCTTTTTCATTACCTGATACCATTTCAAATCCTTCTACAGCTGCTAATCTTCTTACAAGATACTTATCTGAATCCTTTGGGTCTTTTAAGACGACAGCATCTCCAATGAATACAAACCTTAAACATTGAATTCAAATGGGTTTCACTAATCATATGAAGGGCACACAAATTGCATAAACTCTTGTCTGTGTCAACCAATTCAAGGCAAGTCTATGTTATATTAAGTGTGTCTATACTATATAGGTTATGAGATAAACCACAATAAGATTCTGGTGTAACAGAAACGTGCATTGGAACACTAAAGATCAGGTATTGAACAATGAAAGATGTAACGCTTAAATGAAAAAAAGAAACAACATACCTGGTATTAGCAATTGGTATCTTACGGATAAGAAGTGTGTTTTCCTTAGCGGTCATGGTTGGTGACATTTCTGGTACTTTATCCGAGTGTAAGAAGCTTATTTTTCCATAGAATAGATTCTTGAAGACAATTTGAATGAGTTCCCTGTCACTCAGTTTTTCCCTCCTATGACTCTGTCAAAATTGAGTTCACATCACAAATCCATCATTTTCCACAAACATAGTTGTTTAAAAAACAACAGATCAACAAATAAGAGCGATGTTTTGAGACATGGTGGTCAAAAACTATTAATTTGTTCTGATAATGTGATAAGAGCTGCCTTGGAAAACTTATAATACAAGATCAAAAGTATTGTTTTGTGAGTAAAGTGGTCTCCTTTAGAAGAAATGATGTGAGTATTGGCAACTGTGAGTTCGATCTATATGAATTAGTTATATAATCAAAAGCTATCAACATAAAGTAAGCTCCTTTGTAATTTCTCAACATCAAAGTTTAAAACTTTTTCATCATATATCACAAAGCTCTTCAGTTATGAAGAAGAGATTGATTCAATTGATTCGAATGCAGAACACAAGAAAGGCAAATTCCCCTTAAGTCTACAAGCATTTCAATCGTTCCCCAAAACCCAATTCCCAGATCACAATAAATCGGAGAACTGATGAAGAGAAACCCAAACCTTGAGACTGAGCGTGAGGGAATACTCGAGCTTGTGAGCCATGTATCGAAACCAAGTCGAGATTGAGGCCATGACTCCAACGAAATGAGAGAGAGTTTCGTTTCCAATAGAAATGCTATAGGATTTGAATATGGTTTCTCCGCCGCCGCGTCGGTCTTCTCCTCCGCCGCGTCGTCGCCGTAGTCGATAGGAACAGAATAGAACAGCAACAAGTACAAACCCTATGGGTTTGGTTTGGTTTTGATAAAAGTTTGGGTTTTAATTTGTTTCATACAAAAATGAAAAATCTTTTGGGATGCGTTGAAATGAGAATCAGAAGCAAAACAATTTTTTTCAGGGAAATTTTAATTTACAATATGAACCTTCTTTTTATCATCTATTAACGACATTCACCCTATATTATGATTAGCCCCTATATGTTTGAAATTGGAAAAAAATGAAAAAATAAAATTAAAAATGTGTTGATAGTGAATAGAAGTTGTTTATCCTCTATGAAAAAAATATAGTAATCACTAAATACAGAATTTTTTTTTAATAAACCAATGTTTAGGTCAAAATATCATGATAATTGGGCAATCATGATATATATATGTGCATAATATAAGATAACTACAAATGTACAAGAGAGGAAACTAGGTTAACATATACATATGTAACCACTAACTAAATAGCTTTATAAATCCCTACTATAGTAAAAGAGAAGTACAAAAGTTTCTTGGGTCGGGTTTTTTTAAAAAATTAACCCGAAATTTTTCAATTGGATCTTACCAAAAATTTAAAGATATTAAATACCAGTTTCCATATATATTATTTCGAAATCTACCAAATTAAACCATCAATATCGGTTTTGGAAAGTACATTAATCTTAATTTGTTTAAGGAAAATACATTAATGTATGATTTTGTATATTGGTTTAACAAATTAACCTAAAAATCAGAAATATAAATTAAATATAAAATATTTATCAAATTATCCATAATATTTCAAAACAAAATGTTCCTTAAATATCTTATATTAATATTTAGATGTATAGTTTTCTCCTATATTAACTATGATCTTCACACCAATTACGGGATAATTCATTTTCAACCATCTTTAATATATTTATTTGGCAATAGTTTCGAATTTCTGGCTTGATTATAAAGCTAATCTTTTTTTCAACGCTAACCTAACTCTAAGAAAATATTATCTATATAAATAAGTTTCTGCTACCAGAAAATTGTAACATAAACACAGATTTACATTTTAACACGATAAGAAATAAGAAATCATTGGCTCTTTATTTGTTTATTCTAGATATTTGCAATTCTACAAAACTGCATGAAAGGTCCAAGTTAAAATCATGTATTTATGATTATGCGGTGTACCGCGGGTCAATCCCCAAACTTTAAAAATGATTCATAGTATAATATTTATACATGTATATATGTCACATATTGTTCTAAAATTAACAATCCAACTAAAATCATACAATTTAAATAATTTTAAACATATTCGAAACCAACACAAAAATACAATCTAAAAATGATAGAATTTAATTAATAATCAAAATAAAGTAAAGCAAACACAAATAAATTATCCCGCAACGTACAAAAGATTAAAAACCCGGTAATTTTCCCCCGCGCTGTAGCGCGGGTCCGAATCTAGTTATGATAAGACTAAACACAAATCCTTACCATCACAAACTTTATGATTATAAATGTCAAGTACATCATAATTCTTCTAATTAATTTCAACGCTTTTTAAATTCTAATTTTTTTAACATATTTATCTTAATTTTTAAAAATGGTTATTAAAACAAAATTGTAGGAAAAACGAAAATTCAAATTAGAGGCGGTCATGATATCAAATCTCGAATATGGGAAAAAGTACCTAAACGAAACTTATCCAAATCTTCAAATCCCATAAGGTGAAGGATTATTATAACCGACCACTCAGCTATATATAATAGAAACTCGTAGCCCTCTCAACTCTCACCAAACAAACTCATTAGCTACTTCTGCTTCAAACTTGTCTCCCACTCCAAAGTTAAAGAACCAAAAACCCGATCATGGCTTTGATAAAGAACAATGTGTTTTTCACTTCTTTGTTGATTCTTGTAGCTCTTTTTGGAGTTGCCCTTGGAGGAACCGTTCACAAGGTTGGAGACTCTGAAGGATGGACTATGATAGGAGTCGATTACGAGGCTTGGGCTTGTTCAAGAACTTTTCAAGTTGGAGACTCTTTGGTCTTCAACTACAACAAAGACTTTCATGACGTTACCGAAGTCACTCACAATGATTTCGAGATGTGTGATTCGTCTAAACCGCTTATGAAATATAATACCGGATCTGACTCAATCAATTTAACCAAATCAGGACTCCAACAGTTCATATGCGGAGTCCCTGGTCACTGCATGTTAGGACAGAAACTTCAAATCCACGTTGTACCAGCCTCTTTGGGTCACATCGTTGCTCCGGTTCCTGGACCGGTCCGATCACCAAGCTCTTCCTCGTCTCCTTCACCAACCAACGCTCCACAATATAATCATCAGATGACTCCATCACCTCTTCAAAACGGTGGTGCCATGAAGTCAGCTTCTTGGATTGGCTACATCAGCTTGTTGGCCATGATCTTAGCATTCTAGTCTTCTTTTATTATTGTTAAGCAGTGAAACAACATATTCCTTTTGGTTTTCTTCTTGCATTACTCGAATTAGTTGGGTTTTGCTTCCTTGTAATATGTAACTTATTCATTAATGCAATAATTTTTTTTTTTAAAGAATATAAGAGATATATAGTATCATCACCACCATGAACAAGTAATCGATTTTTAACATTGTTTAAGATAAGTAAACCTAATGTAAAAGTATTATAATTCTATTAGTTATCAAAGAAAACGTAATGGACCATTGCAAAGAAAAAATATAGCCTTGCACAAACAAACTAACAAATCATCTGTAAGACCAAATACACCAGTTTTACAAGTCTTAGAGTTGATACATAGGGGGGTGTTTCACCAGTTGTGCTATATGTTCAACTACTTTATTCATTAAGCCTTTATCACCTACCCTGCTAATAACTTCATCAGCTCTTGAACTCTTAACAAACACCTCCATGACTTCAAAACATTATGATTCCTTGTTCTTACATACAGAACTCAACAACCGAGAGTATAATCTTGGATCAACAATAACACAATCAGTACTTACTAACTTAGTCGAACAATCTATCTCACCAATTCTACAGAGAGCATCTATCAACATCCCAAAATGTAGATTCCTCTAATCTCACACCCATTCTTTCTAGGCTCCCCATGAAATCCATGAAAGTAGTGCGTTGGGATATGATGTTCGTGGTGATGCCTCATAATCTTTATTTAACATAAGCGGCGTCATCAACACTGTATACCATCTATAGATATTTAATTATATAAGAGAAACAAACATGTATACATCATTCTCAAGGAACATGTGAAATATATGTTTGTTCGGTTTAAGATCTTTAAAAAAATAGTAGTGCTTAACATTTTTCCCAGTAGAAATATATAAGCCATCTTCTACTTTTTAATTTGTTATATCCTTCACGTAAAAGCAAAGTAGATTTTTGTTTTTTTCCAATTTTAGTTTCTTATATTTATCTTTGTTTCACGCAAATAAAGAATAACTATTCTTCCCATGTGGTTTTAGCACAAGATCATTACACAATTATCTATAAAGCATGCTAAAGTTGGAACAATTTATCCAAAAATACATCGGTAAAGATATGTTAAATACATCATAATTCTTCTTTGTTATTTATGTTTTTACTCATTCATTTTTTTTTTAACTCTTTTTGTTAATACCAACGCTTTTATTTTTGTATTACAAACAATTAAAAATATTTATCTCAGTAAAAACTTATTATTAAAAACTAAATTGTTATAGAAAAAGAAAAAGGAAATTCTAATGAAAGACCGTCATGGTATCAATCAATATATATTATCCAAATCTTCAAATCCCAAAAGAATAAGGAATTAAATTATCTCTCAACCGACCCCTCAGCTCTATATAAACACTCTTACGTATCCTCCATTCTCAAATCCTCACCAAACAAATTCATTAGTTACTTTCATTAATAGTCTCTCTCAAACTTGTTCTCTCATTCCAAAGTTAAGAACCAAAAAACACGACCATGGCTTTGATAAAGAACAATGTGTTTTTCACTTCTTTGTTGATTCTTGTAGCTCTTTTTGGAGTTGTCCTTGGAGGAACCGTTCACAAGGTTGGAGACTCGGAAGGATGGACTATGATAGGAGTTGATTACGAAGCATGGGCTTCTTCAAGAACTTTTCAAGTTGGAGACTCTTTGGTCTTCAACTACAACAAAGATTTCCACGATGTCACTGAAGTCACTCACAATGATTTCAAGCTATGTGAACTTTCTAAACCGATAACGAGATACGAGACCGGGTCTGATACCGTCACTCTAACCAAACCGGGACTCCAACACTTCATATGTGGATTTCCTGGTCACTGTAACTTGGGACAAAAGCTTCAAATTCATGTCTTACCGGCTTCGTTAGGACCCGTCGCTGCTCCCGTTCCTGGACCGGTCCGATCACCAAGCTCTTCTTCACCGTTGGTTGATTCACCGGTTAATAGTGCTCCACAATATCAGATGGGACCGTCACCAGCTCAACTTAACGCAGCTTCAACCTCCAAAATTGTTTGGATCGGATCCAACTTTCTTCCTTTTCTTTTGATTACTCTTTTAGTACTTTGATAGATTCATACATGATACACCTTTTGTCTTCTTTTTTTCTTTTGGCTCTGCTTCTTACCTTTGAGTTGTAGTTTTATTATTGTTCTCTAGCGGTTTTGTTTACTTCCATGTACTGTTCAACATAACTAATGGAAGATCTTTTATTTCTACTTCTGTTTGCTCACATTCATGCATGTACGTACGTACTTCTTATTTATACGTCCATATTATAATTAGTATGAGACATCAAAAAAGTAAAATTAATTAGTAAATTTTCAAAACTCTTATACAGTTTAGCATTGACAACCAATATCTTTATAAATATTACAAAGAAAAGAAAAAAAAATCTTTATGTATTTTCATAATAGCTAAAGAGAAATATGAACTCGTATATTTAGAAAGATTCTACAAAAATAAAATTTACGGAAATCAAAAAAGATATCATATACATTATAGAAAGATATAAATAAATATGAATGAATCATATTAACTCATATATTTCTTCACTAACATATTTTTATTTTTTGCTAATGTTAGCCATACAAATATAAATAATTCATATTTGACTAGCTAGTTCAAAAATTGTTCTTCATCTACATACTTTCCAACAATCTATATTGAACGTTTTGTGGTACTAAACTATAAATCGAGAAATAGCTAGATAGCTAGTCCAAGTATTTCTATTATCATTAATACTATACGAATCCAACCTAGATGAAGAAATTAAGTTATCTGTCCCTAAATCGATGGGCACAAAAACACAAGCAAGCAAAACCTAAACCAGAGAGTGGGTTTTAATATTTTCGGATAGCAAGGCAAATATATTGATTGGTCCATGAATCTGTAGAAATTAACTAGGACTCTTTTTAGTCTAGCTATATCATAACTCGTTCAGTAAATATGATTGCGTGACAAAAAGCTGTCGATGCAATATTGATATTCAAATCACGTGTTTCTTTCGAAAAAATCATGTGTTTATTCAAATTGTCAAAGGTTTATAATATTGTTAGTTTTTAGCGTCAAATAAAATGTTTTGAAGTGAATAAACACATGTTTAGCAAGACATGTTTGATAGTGAACAAAGCATATAGATCAAAATTAGGATATATATTTAGGTGTCATCATGCCATGCTTTGTTGATTTTGTTAACATCATAATTTTTTCCTTTTTGTTTTGCGTTTAACTAAAATTCTAAGCAATATTTTTTAAAAATATATCAACTGTTGATGTGTCACTGTATAAAAAATTATTGGAAAAAAACACAAATTAGATATGGTCATAGGATAGATCTCGAATATGGGAAAAGGAAACAAAGTACCTAAACGAAACATAAGCTACATAACCAATAGTATCTAGGAATTATCCAAATCTTCAAATTCCAAAAAGGGATAGGATTATGATCTCTCCACCGACCCCTCCCCCCATATAAAACCTCGTAAGCCCCTTCTCAACTTCTCTCACCAAACAAACTCATACGTACTTACATATCTCTCTCAAACTTGTTTCTCTCATTCCGAAGTTAAGAAACAAAAAAACACGATCATGGCTTTGATTAAGAACAATATGTTTTTCACTTCTTTGTTGATTCTTGTAGCTCTTTTTGGAGTTGTCCTTGGAGGAACCGTTCACAAGGTCGGCGACTCTAAGGGATGGACTATGATGGGAGATTACGAGGCTTGGGCTTCTTCAAGAACTTTCCATGTTGGAGACTCGTTGGTCTTTGCATACAACAACGATTTCCACGACGTCACTGAAGTCACTCACAATGATTTCGAGATGTGTGAATCATCTAAACCGCTTATGAGATACAACACTGGATCCGACTCAATCAGCCTAACCAAACCGGGACTCCTACAGTTTATATGCGGAGTTCCAGGTCATTGTACGTCGGGACAGAAGCTTCAAATTCATGTCCTACCAGCCTCGTTGGGTCCTGTCGCTGCTCCGGTTCCTGGACCGGTCCGAACACCAAGCTCTTCCTCATCTCCTTCACCAGCAACTGCCCCACAATATCAAGATCATATGGCTCCATCACCTCTTCAAAACGGTGGTGCCAGCTCAAAGTCAGCTTCTTGGATCGGCTTCATCAGCTTGTTGGCCTTGATCTTAGCATTCTAGTCTGGTATTTTATTATTACATTGTTGATCGTTATTTCTTTCTTCTTTCTTCTTTTTGTTAGGGAGTGTCAAGGTTCGTTGTTAAACTTAAACAGTAATACAACAAATTCCTTTATGTTTTCTTCTTCCGTTTACTCTACTTAATTAAGTTTTGCTTCCTTGTAATTATATTTAGCTTATTCATCAATTTAATTCTGTAAAAAAAAAACAAAATTAGAGGTCGTACGTAGTATCACACCAATCACCACCATAATAAACAAGTGACCACCTTTTTAATTATTGTTTTAATTTGAAGGAGAAGTAAACGTAATGGAAAAGTATATTATTTCTATTAATTATCAAAGAAAAAGTATATATATAATTTTTTTTTGTAGAAAGTGTTTACAAATATATTAAACTTTGGTTCCAACTAAAATACAACTTAATTAATTTTGGTCATTATTTTAATTTAATTTTGGTTCGATCAAGCAACGGAACAAGTACGGAACTAGAAGTGGGCCTATTTCATTGGGCCCAACTTAAATTCAAATTTTATTAGTTGCTTTGTATTAAAAAGCATAGCTTCGATTCAGAAATTATGAAAACCATTATAAAGAGAAAAACCTCCTTAAAGTTATCAGAATCATGGCGACAAAAAAAAAAAAAAAAAAAAAAAAAAAAAAAAGTTATCAGAATCAATTCTCCTCTTGATTAACTTAATCTTTAAAATATTTTCTAAACTAAATCATACATATAATCATAACTCTTTATGAAAAACAAAGATTAAACAAAAATAAAATCTAACAAAACGTGTTTTTCCGAACCGTTTTTGTGTGATAACAACAACATATATGAATCCTAACTAATAGTGGAATAGAATCATCAAGAATCAAATCCACTTGCGTGCCACGTGTCGAAATTGAAAAAGCAGATATTCACACTTTCCCATATAAAAGTTGGTAAAAATAATATTATGTCAACGCAACTCCTGGGTGGGTCTCTCGAACCGGGCGGGTCATATAAAACCGAACCCGGATTATTTATTTTTTATTCCTGTAAAAGAAAAACAATATTAACATAAGAAGAGAAAAAAGAGAGCTTCTTTAAAAGTTTGGTTTGCTTGCTTCATCGTAATAACTTACTCTGTTTCACGAAAACTCTCTCTATCAATCAATCCAGTGAACGTTGCTTTGAGGTTAATGATCCCATCTCTCTTCTTCTTCTTCTTCTCTTATCTTATTCTAAAGTTTATTCCTTTTTTTTTTTTTCAATTTCTGATTGATTCCAAACGAGGTTTTCGCGGGTTTTAGGGTTTTTGTTCTTCTTACTTGATCACGTTTTTTTTGCCCGAGTCGTCAAAATTTCTCTATTCCCACGTTTTGGGTTTCGAAAGTTTCGTAAGTTTGCTTCTCTCTCTCTGTGAAAATTCGTTGTTTTTTATGCTAAAGTTTTGGTTTTTTTTTTTCCAGATTTTTGTAGCAAGTTTTTTTTCACAAGCTTAAATCCTTCAATTTCAAGTTTTGTTTGTAAAATTTTGGATTAAATTGAAGAACCTAGTTGATCTTAAGAAGCAATCAGCTGTTAGTTTTAAGAATCAATTCGTTTCCTTCTTGGTATTTTTTCAAAATTTGTCTCTCTGTTGAAACTTTGGTTTTGTCCGATGATGATCGTTGATTGTTTTCATATGGTTAAAGTTTGGTGTTGACGAGTTTTTTGAAATTTATATTTCTGGTTTCTACATGTTTTCAATAGAAGAAACATGTGGTAGAGAGACATAGCTTATAGCTGCGGTCAAAAGATCTTATATCTCTTGAGGAACTTGTTTTGGTTAGAAGTTAGCGTCTAAAAGGCTCCTAGGATTTGGGAAAATTTGTTCATTGATGGATACACCTATGCAAAAGGGTTTACTTAGAAGTTGCATTAGCCATGTTCTGTTGGATAATCTATTTAGAATAACTGCTAAGCAACTGTCTTTTGCTTTGAGCTTCTATTCTTTTGCAATCTTGTTTCTCTGTTCTTTTGCAATCTTGTTTCTCTAACTCAAGAGTTGATGTTGTGTGTACGATACCACATATGCTTTTTCTCTCTCTGATTTTTCTTTTTCTGTTGGCATTGATAGAACAAATACAAGGACGTTGTTGGATTCGGAGAAATAATGGATTTTAAAGGTATAAAGTGGGTTGGGAATGTCTACCAGAAGTTTGAAGCAATGTGCTTAGAGGTTGAAGAAATCATTGTGCAGGTGAATGCTTTGTTGTGTAAGAACCTTGTAATTGTTACCATGTCTATTAGTATCTTTTGTTTAATTCTTGGTTTGCTTCTTTATGTTATTAGGACACAGCGAAATACGTTGAGAACCAAGTTCATACGGTTGGTAACAGTGTCAAGAAATTCTGTTCTGATGTGGTTCAAGACTTGCTTCCGGATGATGACTCTGTAGGTTCAGGAAAACCTTTACCCGTTTCTATGCTGAATGAATACGCTCCTGTTTGTTCCTTCAAAAAGAAAAGAGAAAGCGCGAACCGAAAAACCAGAGATGTGAAGCAAGAGGAAGAGGTAACTGAGGGGAAGAAAGATGGATGTGCAATGAATTTGCGTGGTCTCGATGCAGATGATTACGATATATGTACATCTCCGAGGCAGTATAGTTATGGAGGTCCATATAGAAGAGGAAGAGTCGGCCGCAAACAGATCTTTAAAAAAGAGGAGCTTTCCCAAATCACCAGGCCTTATATCCAGAAAGACTCGAGTAATTTAACAATGGTTCATAGTGCTCGTGTCAAAGATGATGTTGGAACTGTGAACTCAAGTAGTTTATCAATGGCTCATAGTGGTCGTGTCAAAGATGATGTTGGAACTGTAAACTCAAGTAGTTTATCAATGGTTCATAGTGCTCGTATCAAAGCAGATGTAGAAACTGTTAAGTCAAGCGATTCTCGCCCAGGTGAAATAGAAAGACTCATCTCTAAGAAGGAATGTCAGAAAGACGATAGAACTGACAATCAACATGGTCTGACAATGGTTAATTCTGTTAGAAGTAAAGATTCAGAGATTAGAACCGAGATTGAACACAGTCTCACTGTTGTTAATTCTGTTCGAAGTCAAGATTCAGAGATTCTACCATCTGTTGCTACTAGCTTACTTACAGGATCATCTAATGGTAACATCTCTGCTTTTAATAGTTTTTTTGAAACCATGAAATCTTAAGTTGGATCCGGGTACACATTCATATAGTAAGCATAACACATAGGCTTGCTGTATCATTTGGATTTATTTTACGATTATGTGATTCCTTATCGTTGTTTGCCTCAGTAATTGAGAATGGAATACAATAGGGAGAATCTAGCTCATCGTTTGAAGCAGTTCATTTTATCTTGCTTTTGGCTTCTTGTTTTCAGAATTCAGAAAGGAAACCAAAGAGGATTCGATGGAAGCAAGTTCGAGTTCTGTCTCCGAGCAGAAGTCCGAGATTCTCCAACATCTTAGTGGAAGATCAGTTGAGGAAAGCTGTATACTTGTCGACAGAGACGAATTCCATTGTGTGTTTCCTGACAAGATGGAGAATGACAAACACAAACCTTACAAGGTTTCTTCCTCTTCTCTGTTTCATGTTTGCATTTATCAATCATACACTAAGTAATAAGGCCTTATATAACATAAACTTATCCCACAGAAGATCAGAGACGCTATATCTTCAAGAATGAAGCAAAACAGAGAAAAGGAATACAAGCGTCTTGCGCGTCAATGGTACGCAGAAGATGTTGAGAATGGGAGTGAATGTGGCGATGATCCGAAACCAGAAGACGAAAACCGATCATCAGAAGAATCTGAATGGGAGCTTCTGTGAAATGTTGAATGGTACAGACTACAACAGAGAATATAGCTCTACTCTACTCTCCTCTACTCTCCCTCTCTTGTGTATATAAAAGAATGTATTAAGCAAAACATAAGAAGCAGCTTAAAAAAGGCTTCTTCTGGCTCTGGTTACATAATTTAATAAGGCCCTTAAAAATTTATACTTTTATCAAATTTTTATTTGACGTCTATTTATAAATTTCAAGTAAAAATGTTCTTTTTCTTATTTACAAATTGTGTCCATCTGTGAATACATATGTATTTGTGGGAAAGAAAAGAAAAAAAAAGTCTTTCCAGTGAAAAAGAGAAGTCTTGCCCTTTGGTGGTTGTGTAATAATTGTTTTCTTGTTTCGTCTATTTTACATTTCCAATTTGTTCCAAAATTAGGACCACTCTACATCATTTCCTTTTTTTTTTTACAAAAATTTGTTTTTAATTTTATTTTAAAATTCACAATATTTGGAACAATTTGAACCATATATATCTCTTCAAACAGGAAACTATAGTCATTTTCGCAAATAATTTTTCTAGGAGTTGAGAATCCGATAAACCCCTATATATAATGTATCTTGTTTTTTTAATGGGTTGGAAAGAGACATAACAATAATCTTTTATAATATAAATCAATAATATAACTCGACGGTTGAAGTAATAATTGAATTTGTTGATGAATGAATAATTGCTAATGGATGCAATTTTTTCTAGTTTTTAAAACCACAGCTTGCTAATGAAGGTATAATCATTAACAATTTTGAACTAGAAGATGAGCCAAATGATTATTGGAATTGATGCTTACATAAATTGTGTATTTTAATATTTCCATATGAATTATGTAAAAGTAGTTAAAATTGAAACTGTTGGATTCATTGCATAACCTAAACTATAGAGTCAACATATAAAATCATCCATTAGGTGTAGATTAGTATTAAAAAAGCTTAAATAGAAAGAAAATTAAAAGAGAAGTAAGTTTTTGGGAGTGAGTGAGTGAGTGGGGTGGTCGAGTTGGAAAAAGCAAAGCCACCCTAAAACACCATCATAACATGTGCAAATTGCTTATACATATACACATCACCCTTGTCTTATCATTCTCTTAGTATATTACAACATGCATGTTAAACCAATGGCTGCGCAGATAAATTACAAACCGTTAAAAAAAAAAGAGTTATTCATGAAATTTGATAAAACACAACATGATTGATGTGAACTATATGGAATCTCTCACTTTTAGAACTCATCCTGTTGTCATACGTGAGTTTGGTAGTGACGTACACTGATTTATGTGAGGAACAAGATTTTTTTAGTTTTTACTTTGATTTTATTATATTTTATGATTTAACAATAATACCTATAATATTAGATATACGGTATAGGTTTTTAATGTATGGCTTTTATCATTAAAGCCTATAAAACATGTTGGCTGAACTAAATACGATTTTAGCTGGATATCAGAACCAATTGGCTTATAAAGAGTTTGATTCAATATAATTAATCTATTTTGATTCCATATCACCTTTATCAGCTCTTCAAGTATATCTTAAGCATAAATGATTGTCCACGAAATAAATATGTAAATGAAATAATTCAAAAACATAACAAGAAAACTCACTGTAGAAACAAAGACTTCTTTGTATTATCTATAAAAAGCATGAGGCTTGAAGACTAAGTTGGTCATTCTTTCTTGGCGACTCCAAAAAAACAAAGATGGGACTCTGTTTCCAACTCAACTTAGCATCTCTGTCTCTCATACTCTTCTTCTCTTCATTCCATGCACATTCTCAACAACAATTCTTGGGACAAAACAACACAGGCTCAAGCTTGTTGAGTAGAGGGAGATGCAATTTGTCTAGAGGCAAATGGGTCTATGACTCTTCATATCCTCTCTATAGTGCTTATACTTGTCCTTTTATCGATTCTGAGTTCAATTGCCAGAAAGCTGGTCGTCCTGACACTAACTATCAGCACTTCCGATGGCAACCTTTCTCCTGTCCTCTCCCAAGGTACTTTAATTTTTTCACATGTATTAACCCACTTGAGTTTTGAATATTTTTTGAAGAAAAGCTTTTTTTTTTTTTTTTTTTGAAGAAAAGCTAAGGTTTCGAATTGTTCAAACACTTTCTTTTTCGTGTTTGCATTTATAAATATACGAGATATATACTTTTTAATATATAATAGTCTTACAATATGTTTACACAAACCTTTGGTTGATGTTTACGTTTACAATTAACAAATGGGTTTCTAACTAGTAAAATTTAACGAATGGTTTGGTAAAACATTTAATCGAAAGAACCCATATGAAAGTTCTAACTACTATCTTGGTTATGTGAAATTAGAAGTAGCTAAATAGTGAAAAATTGATAACACGAAAAACCGCTAATAACGTGGTTTTGAATTGGCTAAAAGTGGTCAATATATGTCTATGTAGTCAAATTTTATTATTATTTTTTTCCAACAATAGTCAAAGTTTATAATTAAGATATGTTTTTTTTTTGTTGTTGTTGAATGAGATAGTAACATGTAATTTACAGATTCGATGGGGCGAATTTTATGAGGAGAATGAGAGGGAAGAAGATAATGATGGTAGGTGACTCACTGAGTCTCAACATGTTCGAATCGTTGGCTTGTTTGCTTCATGCTTCTCTCCCTAATGCTAAGTACTCTCTTCGTCGTAACCAGCCTCTCACTTCCCTCACTTTCCAGGTTTTTCAACTTTATTTCCATCTCTTTTGTTTCCATTTTGCTTCTCTGCATATATATGTATATATAGAACTACTTTTGATTCTTTGATATTTTTTTGTTCTTTCTTGATTTGATCCTTAGCTTTATCAAGTGAACACCCAACACCACTAGAAACTAGAAAGTAGAAGTCTACTTAAATTATTAATTTGTACAAAACTAATTATTGATTTTTACACAACTCGCCGAATCTTTTGTCTTAATAGTACATGATTTATTATCTCCAATCTAGTTAGAACTTATTAGAACTTACCGACAATAGCACATTTTTTAGGGTTAATTATTTTAAAATGTCGTAATTGATTTTGATTTATTTAATCATTACTCACCAGAAACCCATGTTATAAACAATAGCACATTTTTATAGTTATGTAGTATGTATGTCTCTTAAATTCTGATATTTGTAAAAGCTAAATAAGATTACATTTTTTGTTTTTTGGTAATTCATGAAATTATAAACAGTGTTTTTGTTCTCTTTTGTTAATGTTGTCTCCACTTTCAACTCTTTTGGGATTTCTCTTTTTGGTTTTGGGCATTTAAATTTCATATATAAAAAAAAAAAGAGCAAGCTAGTCGCTGCTAAGTGCATGTATCATGACGCTACCACAAATGATCATCAGATACGTAGCTATTTTAGTTTCCTTTAGGTTTGGGTTCGATAGATCAAACAAACACTTGTCATTTAGTTATAGTAAGAAAAATAATAAAATTAGTATTATGGATTAGATAAGTAAGACTACGAAACATCCCACGTAGATGTTGAAAAAGAGTTCCCTACAACGTCACAATCTAATTTTTATCTTCTGAAAATGATTATCCGTTTTAAAAAGATTGTGTTGCTTACGAATTAAGATTATCCCATACATGTGGTTGCTTAAGATTGGGTTACTTTTGCAAGTTGTAAGGATTTGTGGCAACGACAGTTTTACGTTGTAAGAACATTATTCAATACGGACCCTTTTAACAAAAGTCGTAGGCATTAGTTAAGCTTTCTCTAAGAGACTTCTCTCAATAGAACCAAACATACACGACAGATTGGATCATTAATTAAGACACCCATCTACAAAATGATTTTGACAACCACTTAAGGTCAATGTCGTCTTCTTCTTCATTGTCGTAGACTAAACAGTGACAAGTCTGTCTCCATTGGGGATGACTTTAGATTTCTAGCTTCTTCATAGGTTTGCTACGTGTCTTTCTCTCTTTGGCTTAATAAAATACGATCGATGGCATAACCACATAGGCATCATCAGATCCGACCCAAGCCACAAGCTGGTGAAGCATGAGCTTTCAGTTTTCAGTTTTTAATATTTTTCTTTATTTTCAATATTCATTTTATTGATTATGTCATATTATTGTCACCAAAGTAATTTGACGTACATGCCTTTAATTGAAAAATGGATAGGAATATGGAGTGACGATATATCTGTACAGAACACAGTTTCTAGTAGACGTAGTTCAAGAAAAGGCAGGACGAGTGCTTGTACTTGACTCCATCAAACAAGCTAATGCTTGGCTTGGCATGGACGTTCTTATCTTCAACTCGTGGCATTGGTGGACTCACACTTCCGGACTCCAGCCGTACGCTCATTTTACTTAAACTCTAATTAAACACCTCTCTCTTTTAGTGAATTAATTATACTATAAGCTTCTGAACTAAATGTTTAATATAATGGTTTACTAGGTGGGATTACATGAGGGAAGGAAACCAATTGTACAAAGACATGAACAGGCTTATTGCTTATTACAAAGGACTAAACACATGGGCTCGTTGGATTAACCATAACATTGACCCTTCACGCACTCAAGTCTTCTTTCAAGGTGTTTCTCCTGTCCACTATGAGTAAGTCTTCTTTTACTCTCTCGCTCGCTTTCTCTTCTATCTCTTTTGTCTCTCACGTACACTTGATTTAAAATAAGTCTAACGAAACAAAAGAAATATATCTAGTTATTACCAATTGGTTTTGAAAACATTAGTTATCTTGAAACAGTGGAAGAGAGTGGAACGAACCATTGAAGTCGTGCAAGGGCCAAACTCAGCCGTTCATGGGACAAGGATATCCAGGAGGACTACCTTTAGGATGGGTTGTGGTTAACAAAGTGTTGAGTAGAATCAAGAAACCGGTCCATCTTCTCGACCTCACTACTCTCTCGGAATATCGCAAAGACGCACACCCAAGCCTCTACAATGGTCTCTCACAGGGTCTAGACTGCAGCCATTGGTGTCTCCCTGGTCTACCTGATACTTGGAACTTACTTCTCTATGCATCTCTCACTTCTTAGTTCTCGTTTCACATATTTGATTATTTTTCTACCATTTGATGAATAATTCGTGAGGTTCCTGTGATTGTGATTGATATTTTTCCTTTGTAATTTAATCCTAAGTGTAATTAAAGATTAAATACAAATGTTACATGCATCAACGGTTTAATATATTTCTCCATATATATATGTTTTACTAGGTGGAGAAGGGAACTTAAGCTAATGACACTCCTGTTTCAACATTGTTTGTTGATTCAACAACATTTTGATCCTCCATCTCTTTTCTTCCATGAATAGAACTCTTGTAACATTGAGGAGCGGTTTGGGAGCTTTTGGACAGACATGAGAATAGATATTCACCTATTGTGTTCTGTTTTTACAGGGCATTTGAGCTGGATTTTAAGTTTCACAAGCTGTTGGAACAGCTACAAGGTGTGATGAGTTCTGTTTTGCTAGACAGCAGCATTATTCTCCTTACGAAATGAATCATTTCAACTCTCCAATCGGATTTGTTGTTGCTTTAAACTCAGTTTTTGGAGAGAACCTTGAGCAGCTGGCCACAGTTGTGCTCACTAATGAGAAACAAAGATTAAGAGATTTCGGTCAATCATATCTACTACTTTGGCGAAGAAAGATGCAAGATGGGACATCAAGCTACCATGTTTGGCAACGTTGGAAAGCTCGGTATTTGCAGATTTTTGAGTATAAGTTTGACGCGGGATTAAAACTGCATTGTGTTGGCAACATGACTGCAAAACAGAGTTGTGAAAGGAAGCTTATAGGATTGAACTCAGCAAATGGGGAAAAGAACATCTATGTTTCTGTGTGGCATTGTTGGAAAAGAAGAAACTGCAGATCATTAACTTGCAATAAGGGCTGTTCAATCTTTTAATTCCCCATATTATGCATGTGAAGACTAAGTCCGGACCTGCACTTTCACAGAATCACTACGCTTGAGGGCAAGCTGTCTTAACCCGGGGGAGTATTGAGGGCAAGCTGTCTGCGAATGGGGGAGTATTGATAAGCTAATGGAAGCTGGTAGAGTTAAGTGAAGAGAAGAGTTCATAGGTTCAATGTTATCACGTTTTTGAATAAACGCAAGTTTTTTCACTTGGTAAAGTCAGCGTATGACACTGATTTGGACACACACAGGTTGAACGCAAGTTCTTTTCACTTGGTAAAGTATGATCTAAGCATTATTGCGTCTTTGCTTGTAAAATCAATAAAACTGTTGCATGAGTAACAGTGTTGGTATCACTATGATGTAATCGACATCCTTTTCTTGGCCACCAACCTTTCTAGTCCTTTCAGTAACTGGGACGTGAAAAGTTTCTACACCTGAGCGTCTAGGATAAGCTTTGGTTTCTCTGTCTTAAAGGCAAGGCAACATTTGATGCAACTGCTTCTTTGTAGCTATCACGGATTCAGTATGACCAAACTCATCTTTCTAATTATCTTTGTATGGAAATGTACTTTGCCTCTTCTTTAGTCAAATTGAATCAGACTTTTGGTGGAAGCTTTAATGGAAATAAACTCTTATCTCTTCAAAGTTTACATTTTTTTTTTACATTTTTGTGATAACAACAAGTTGAGAATGTAACATCATAAAGGTACAAAGTTACAGATTTGTTTTTGTGGAAGCAGATACTAAAAATTACAAAGGTACAGTGGTGGCTAAGATACAGACCAAACTGCTCTGACTTCTGACTAGTTAACTTGGAACCAAACCATCTCTTATTCAGCGAGGCTGGTGGATGTTTCTGGGAGCAGCAACCCTCTGGTTTCCCCATTTCGCTGGCTTTTCCGCATACTTAGCTGGTTCAACATACGATCTGGGACTCCTGTTTCCAGTTGATTTCCTAACCATCTCACCGTTCTTTCCTAAGCCTGATCATGGATGATAGACACAACAACAATTAGTTGATCTTTGGTGGATTGGCTTGTGTATTGGGGAGAGAGAATCAAACCAACTTACCAAATTCGGAAGGTGCTTGGTAATACATATGTCCATTGAACCCTTGATCAAACTCAGAGGCATCAGTGTCAAAGAAATCTTCCATGTCATCGAAATCAAATGATTCTGGAAGAAGATCAGCTACATCGACCTGGCCTCCACCATTCTCAATCTCTCCGTTGTCGTAGAAACCTTGATGCTGGCTGATCCAGTAGTCATGGTACCAAGTCGAAGTCGTCACCAATTGCCACCACTCCGGTGAGAAATCTTCCACTTGTCTTACAGCTGCTGGAACAAACAGAGGTGCGTCCGGGTTTAAAGTAGATCGTCTTCCTGATACCATCGCCATTCTTAAACAACTCTAGATCTGCACACACACACAAAACAAACAAATTCAGATTCCAACTGCTCAATCACAACAGTGAAATCAATAGATCTGTATATTTCTCCGATCAATTAACGCAGCAACGACAAAACTTCCGATAAAGATCACTCCAAGTCGAAGTTGAGTAAAGTAAAAGTTTGAAATCTGAAGATAAACGAAATCACTGATCTGATCATCACCTATGTTGATAACTAGTCAAATCCAAAAGTTTCTTAAGATAAATAAACCATCATCACAAAGATCTAATACCAGATGATACAAATTTCTTCATTTCATCAATCCAACTTCAAAAGATAAAACTCATGACTGATCGAGAAGAAGAAGAAGAACACAAAGATCGTTTACCTTGGCCGAGAAAATATGAATCTGCTGCCGCAAGTTGCACAAGTTGATAAAACTTTTTTTTTTTTGTTTAGAAAAAAGCGAAGTGGATTAGGATCATTCACCAGAACCTACGTTGGGAGAAGATGAGGAGGAAGAAGTAGTAATATATAAAGTAAGGTTCGGTGACGAAGCTAAGGTTCGTTAAGATGAAAAGGTGAGAGACAAGTGGGTAGGTTTGGAGTCCAAAGCTAACGTGGTTTTGAGTAATCTGCCGTCCACGTGTTGACGCGTTACTGTTGTTGGCTTTTATTGACTTTCTTTTATTTCGTTCCAATCCTGTTGGCTACTCATACATGTGTGTGAAGTTAAATTATTATTCTCTTTTATTTCAAAATATCTTAAACACTAGAAAGTCTCTAAAAATTTTATATAATAATATTTAAATTATTTTTTAAAATTCATACAAAAAAGCAAAGCAAACAAATTTTATAAAAAAGAGGATGAGAGTATGATATAATGAGAAAATGAGATAACGAGATAATGATATAATGAGAAAACGAGTATATATAGGAAGAGAAGTGATAAGAGTTACAATTTCATAAAACAATTATAGGAGTCAATAACTGATTGTGTGTTGAAAAAAATGAATGGGAAATATAGTAAATGCAGATTTATATTATTTCAGTTTTTATATTAAAGTGTGAGTTTAATTTATATGATTAAATGTGTTTTGTTTATTTTTTTCAGTTTTATATTAAAGTGTGAATCAAATATATAATATTTTTTAAAGTTACATGCCAAGTGGACCAATAAGAAGATAGTAAAACCTTATATATATATATATATTGTGAATAATATGATCGTTATTCTTTGATTTAAATTCATTATATTATTTTTTCAGCGGTTTGATAATAGAAAATGAAATAAAGTTGGTTGGTTAAATAGTTACATAGAAACAATTATCTTATAAATTTTTTTATACAAATTGTGTATAAGATCTACTGATTAATTATACTGGAAAACAATTAAGCTTTTTCTAATTTCAGTATTTATCATAGATTTGACCATACTAAAAAAATCTCTTTAATTCTTCTCTTATAAATTAACTTTTTAAAATTAGAAAATATGTTAGAAATAATTTATTACCCATATTATTAATAACTTTAAAAGGTATCTTTAAAGGAGTAGGGAAAACAATTCATAGCAATTTTCTTTGAATAAAAAATTATAACAACTTCATTTTATGTTTAGCTTATATGATATTTAATTTAATTAGAAACTAAAATTAGGAAAAACATATTTTTGCGATACTAACACTTTTTAAAAAGCAAACTATACACATAACATATAATTTACAACACAATATCATAAGAGAAAATAATTTTGAAAATGTTAGATTAGAAATTAATAAAAATGACACACGTCAAAAGCGTAGAGCGACAAATGTCGCATTGTGAGGCAAAATTAAAAAGAAACCTTGTCTTATTATTAAACGACACATGTCAGAAGCATAGAGCGACAAATGTCGTATCGTGAGGCAAAATTTGTTTTATTATGTAAAATTATCATTTTAAATCCAAACCATTTTTAACGTGCCTATATACACTTTCAAGTCTTTTATAGGCAAAACTTATGTGAGGGGCATGTATTAAGGACCAATACTTCACGCATTATCGAAACCTTTGAACACTCCAAATCAATTTTCCAAGGGCACAGAGATGAGGAGGTTGTTTTGATTAGAAGGTAAGTGGAAAATGGTGGGAGACATCGCCAAAAGATGGAAGGAACTGAGCGGCACTAGTAAATGGAAAGACCTGCTTGATCCTCTTGACTTGGATCTACGCCGCTACATCTTACACTATGGTGACATGGCTGAGGTTGGGTACCTTGCCTTCAATAGTGATCGCCGGTCTAAATATGTAGGAGATAGCTGCTACACCAAAGAAGAGCTCTTTGCTCGAACCGGCTACCTCAAAGCCAACCCTTTTAGGTAACAAACATATCTACTAGTACTCGGTTTCAGTGTGTAGTTTTGGTTTTGTTTCCGTGCACACCCCAACATAAAACATGTGTGAAAATGGTATTATCCAGGTACGAGGCGACCAAATTCATATATGGAACGTCGTCGATAAGGTTACCAGAATGTTTCATAATCAAGTCATTGTCAAGGGAGGCATTGTACAAAGAATCTAACTGGTTGGGTTATGTTGCGGTAGCTACAGACGAAGGCAAGAGGTTGCTAGGGAGGAGGGACATTGTTGTAGCATGGCGAGGAACAATTCAGCTGTATGAGTGGGCTAACGATTTCGATTTTCCACTTGAAACAGCCGAAACGGTTTTCCCTCAAGCAAACCCGAATGACACACCTCGTATAGCCAATGGTTGGTTGTCTCTTTATACATCCACTGATCAACGCTCACGTTTCGACAAGACAAGTGCACGAGAACAGGTCTCTACAAAATAACCTGCCCCATTATTAACTTCACGTCTGAATGTAGATTTGTTGTGAGTCGTGACAGGCCGGCCTGACCAGTTTGAGTCCGGCTAATTTTGGCTCAGGTTTTAAAATTTCGAACCAATCAAACTGCCAACTAAGGATGACCTGTGGTTAATCTGAACCAAAATGCAAAGTAAATGATAGGCTTGATAGGCTTTGCCTGGCTTGTTCCTAACTTAGGCTTGAAATACACACAGGGCTATTTTACAAACCTGGGTCAAGCCACTCCGGGGAGTTTTGACCATCCTTAACATCCCTATATTATTTTGGTTTTCAGGTTCAAGGAGAGCTCAACAGGTTACTAGAACTGTACAAAGATGAAGAAGTAACCATCACCATAACAGGACATAGCTTGGGCGCAGTTCTCTCAATCCTATCTGCGGCAGACTTTCTCTATAACGAATCCCTTAAGATCAGACCAAGTCTTCAACACAGGCTTTCTTGTGTCACAGTTTTCGCTTTTGGTAGTCCCCGCATAGGTGACCGCAGCTTCAAAAGACTCGTGGAGTCTCTCGAACACCTCCACATCTTAAGAGTAACAAATGTCCCTGATCTCATCCCGCATTACCCAGTATTCAGGTTCACAGATGTGGGAGAGGACCTTCAGATCAACACACTGAAATCAGAGTACCTGAAACGGTCCTTAAACCTGGGACATTTCCATAACCTGGAGGCTTACTTACACGGAGTGGCAGGGACACAACACGATCAAGGAGAATTTAAACTAGAGATTAACCGAGACATCGCTTTGGTCAACAAGGGTTTAGATGCTCTTGACGATAAATACTTAGTACCAGGACATTGGTGGGTTCTGGAAAACAAAAGAATGGTTCAAAGTGATGACGGTACATGGAAGCTCAACGGCGATAGAGCAAACCTCGAAGAAGAAGAAGAAGAAGAAGACTGCAAATTCCCATGAAGATAGCTACACTACAATGTCATTGAACCCATTTGAAGCAGTAAACAAAGAAGAACAAATGATTGGTAATTTATTGCACACAAATCTGAATCAGCAAATCTCAGTTTTTTTTTCCTTTTTCTTTTCACAAGAACATAAAAAAAAAAGAAGCAAATCCAATACTAAGAATTTGTAAGTAGAGAAGAAGTTATATACATTGGAAGAAATCAAACTCAGCAAGGGATCTTGGACATGAACCACTCCATGACATGAATCGGAGCTTTAATCAACCCAATTGCGATCTCCACAAGTACAGTCACACATAAGCAGCAAGGACATATGCATGACAACAACAATCTGCGAGAGAAATCAGATGAATAAGCTAATCATACGAAGATGGATTTTTAACAAAAAAACTGCAATTACACTATCAAAGTGAGAGAGAGAGAGAGAGAGAGAAATTGAGAAAACAGACCCGACGATCCAGATGACGACACCGACGATGGAGAGAAGGAGAGAGAGGAAGGCGAAAGGGAGACCTAAGAGGAAACCTAGAGGGCGGCAGTCTCCGTCGCACATGGTTGGTGGTGGCTCCGGCGAGTGTTCTGGTTACAAGTTGTAATTCAAGAGGTTGTTGTTGTGATGACTTGTGTGAGTCGTCTTCTCTGAATTTTCTATAAGGAAAGGTCTTCTTATTAATTAGATAGAGACGAAGGAGACGACGCCGTGTTACGTTTGGTGTATCTGTGATCTGTCTGTGTCAATGTTACCATTTTTTTTCCTTTCCAATTTGGTAGACAATATAAGACTTTTAAGACTACTATGACCGAGACTCTTTTGGATTTTGGAATATACACCGAGACTCTTTTTTTTTTTTTTAATTAAGAATAAATTTTTGTTTTTTCCCCAACAATACATATTTTTATGAAAAATTATATATTTGGAATGGTTTTATTTCTGCAGAGATTACAATAGTGGGTATTGTATTGTTTGTTGTGTGGCCTGTTTGTTTAGAGCAGTAGTGGTTTACTAAACTAATTGGGTAAACAATCATTGTTGCGGTAGATGAAAAAGTGAACAAGGCCCGTTTTATATATTCGAGTAGTATCAGGCCCATTTTTTAATGTGGATACTTGCTATATGTTCAAATAATTTTTAATCATACCATCTTCTTGTAATTATATGATAAAATATATAATTTCAACCAACCACTTCAATGTTTTGTATAATTTCCTTTTTTTTCTGAAAAAGGTATCGGTATATGTTGTCTAAAATTTGGTGAGTTAAAAGAAATCATACTTTAATTCCAAAAGTTCAATAACCAACTCCTGTAGGTGTAGTAAGTTCTTCAAAAATTAAACATTTTTTTATATAAAATAAGTTCTTGGATCTTAAAACATTACCAAAAAGTTTACCATGACAAACGAGAGTATATTTGTATTGATGATTTGATGTATCTACCAATATGTCCGATACTACTTAGTAACACCAAAATCAATTTTAGTTTATCTCTTTCTTCTTTTTTCTAAGAAAGGTATATACTTACTTACCAATCTTGTCGTCATAGGTCATCATCAAACACTAATATGTATTATGTGTTCAAGTGGGAGCAGAACGTTCGTAGACTAATATGAGAATGTCATGAGAAACTATTATACCAATGAATCTATCGATGCGCCCGTAGAGAATAATCTTTTTTGAGGAGAATATGTTAATTTGTCGACTTCATTGTTTACAATTTGAACCTCTCAAATTTTCCAACACTGTAGTTGATGTCGGCGAAGCTTTATTTATTTGTACGAGTGCATCAAACTGTTTTTACAATATCATAAGTCTTACTTTGATTATCAACCACTTTCTATATAATATAGTTTCTGCTGAAATTTTCTTTAAAAAAAAAACATAATCATACATATCACTTTTACTAGATTGCATATCATTTTTTAACAAATATATTCGACTTCGCTGCTTCTTACCAAGTTTTGATATAAACAATTTTAGCCATCAAATCACAAAAAAAAAAAAAAAGTAACCGATATATTTTTTAACTCCTCTATGCTTATCTTTGTTTGTTTCTCCTACAAATGAAAAAGGTAAAACCCAAACGATAAAGACCGGGGAACATTATAAAATATAAGCCAATCGTTGTTACATAAAAGGTAACTCATTGGATACACAAGAAAACACACAGATAAAAAGCATGATGTATCCAGGTAAGGAGGTACAAAAATACCAAAACCTTGATCGATACAACAAAATTGTACGTAAAATTTATGAAAAAAGAAAAAGAAAAGCATATCAATGGCGATATTCAAATGACTTGCATGGATCATTAACAATTACTTGTGCTTGGATCTCCGGCAAAGTCTATATATCTGTAAAAAAAGATCAGTTAATGGTGTTGTGGATCGGGACCTCCCGGTGAAACCCTTTCGGAATCCACTAGAAACCGCCTCTCGTTATGACCTTTGAACTTGGAGAGATCAATACCGAGTTCACGTAGTAGAACCTGACTGTCCATATTTCCCATGGCCGCAACGTTACCTGTCCGGAGGATTCGAGCTTGAGAACTCAAGATTGGTGATGAAAATATGATTAGGAGTATGATTAGAGACTGCTTAAGGATCAAATTTGCCATAAAAGGTGATTAAAGAAGAGCAAAGGTGTATGAGATTGAGAGAGAGAAAGATATGCAAAATGAGATGAAGTTGAGACTTGAGAGAGTATGATGACTTGTATGTGTGTTGAGATTTTCTATTTATAGAGAATTAAAGAGCCGTAAACATAAAAATGAGTGAAGAATCAAGTAGGTTTGGGCAGTGGAGAGAACATGATGGGATCCACAACAACCCATGAAAGCCAAATCTGACTCATCTTTTGGGATTATAAAACTTATATGCATAGACACTTAAAAATATTGAATTACGATATGGATTATTCAACTGATCCAACGATCAAAATTCTCAGGTGGAAATCAATATTTCAGGGACCAGTAAAAATTGACCAATATAGTTGACATAAGGTTCAGTAGGATAATATTAAAATTACAACGAACCTAGATTCGTGTGCTAGACTACTACTACTACTAGGTTATATATAGATTTTAATTCATTAATATGCTTTTGTTGTTTATCATGGATTTTTTTATTACAACTACCAATTTATATTTGTGCATGGGTACTAGGAATCAATTTTCTTATGCAAACATGTAATATCGATCGTATTCTTGTTTTACAATAAATGTTTTTTTCTTTCTGTTGTTATACACGCTTCTTTTAACAAACGAGATAAATTGATAAAAAAAAAAAGAACAAGAAACTTTTTTTTTTAATAATCAAAGAGGTTATGGGCCGAAACCCATACATAAAACGATATTTATCAAAACATGAGTTGTTTATAACAAAAGATGATATTTTATCTTGTATCATAAGTATTATGTTGATAACATTAATTGTTATGTGACATGTTTATATTAGAAGAGTCATCTTTATAGGTGTGCATGTATATTGAGGCGAATATATTAGAAAATTGGAAGGACTATCTATTATTAGAGCATCTCTAATGTTGTTCTGAATAATGAGATATCAATTTTCTTGAATAGCTTAGCTTGAGTTTGATGGCTCCGTGAAGGCACACGTTTCTTTCTTTTCAAATTGTGGATAACATTCATTACTTACTTATCGTGTCATAGTAGAAGTATATCACAGATCAAGGCTAGGAGAGAGTGTCCCAGTTTTAACTTGAATCTCTAACTTTTTCTGTTGCTTCTGACATTTTATGATGTGTTTGGGCATCATTAACAAGAGGATCTTAGGGGTAAGATCTTGGCTCCTGGTAAAATTAACATATATTTTGTCAATAGTGGCTTACATTTTGAAGTGCTAATAAATTCAATCAATAGATGTCTGTATCTCTCAAAATGAAAAAGGTAAAGCTCTTACGCAAAAGCTAAGGGGACATTGATTATTAACCAAATGTTGTTACATAAAAGGTAACTCATTGGAGACACAAGAAGACATAAAGAGTAAAAGCTTGATGTATTAAGGTATGGTGGTACAAGAATACCAAAACCTTGATACAACACCATTGTACGTAAGTTTAAGAAAAAAAAAAGATAGAAGAGAAACAAAAACATAAAGATAACGATAGTCATCATATGACTTGCATGGTTCAATCAAATTTTTTGTCCTTGGATCTTCGGTAAAGTTTTATATAGACCATTCAATAATGGTGTTGCGGATTGGGACCTCCTGGTGAAACCCTGTCGGAACTCACTAAGAAACGCCTGTCGTTATGACCTTTAAACTTGGATAGATCAAAACCGAGTTCACGTAGTAGAACCTGATTATCTATAATTCCCATGGAGGGGGCACGGTATGCACGAAGGATTCGAGCTTCAGAACTTAAGATTGGTGATGAAAATATAACTAGAAGTATGATTAGAGATTGCTTAAGGATCAAATTCGCCATAGAAGGTGACTGAGATGAAGAAATGTGCTTATGAGGGCTTGGGAGAGATTGTGAGAAAAAGATGCAAAATGCGAGAGACTGCTAAGAGAGTATGATGGCTTTGTATGCGTTGTGAGTTTCTATTTATAGAAAATGAGAAACACCAACATAAGTTGAGTAGGTTTTGAATAGAGAGTAGCTTGGGTTAGTGGAGAGAAACCTGATGGGATCCACAGCAAACGAAAGCTAAGCTAGCTAGATTCATAATTTATTATTACTATAAAATTTAATGCACGTACACATAGGCATTAATCGTAGTATTCAATTGATCTAGTGCTCGGAGTTCTCAGGTGGAAAATCTATAATTCGGGGACCAGTAAGAATTGACTTTACATACATACATATAGTTAATTAAGAATTAAAAAGGTTTGACATAACGTTCATTAACACTAGCTAGGATAATATAAAATTTACAACTAATCTAGATTCTTATGCTAAACTACTACAAGGTATATGTATTTTAGTTTATGAGTTTGCTCTTGATATTTGTTATGGACTTTTCTCCTAACGGTATTCGCAACCGCCGAATATATCATCGTAGGTAGGTACTAGGAATCAATTGTATATAAATCATCAACATTGTGTTAGTAGCATTTCTAGTAATGTTATATGTTTATATCACTACTATAGAAAAGAGAGGCTCATCTTAGTTTTTTTCAATATAGTAATATAAGCGATTACGTGATTTCCTACACCAAAAGGCAGTAGCATTTCTAGTAATCGTTTGTATGACTATATTGAAAGCCGAGTTTTTTTTTCTATTGTAGTGATATAAATTTATAACAATACTAGAAAAAATGTGCCTATATAGTAGTGATATATAAGCGATTACGTGATTTTCTATACCAGTAGGCAGTAGCATATAATATATTTAGAAGAAAAAAAAATCTGTTCATAATCTATAATCAACTTTGTCCAAAAAAAAAAAAAAATCTATAATCAACTAGTTTGAGATGTCATATATGCTATAAACATTTTGAATTTTGAGGTTTTTAAAAGTTGTAAACATATTTTCAAATATCGTATTTCTGACATTTTTCAGGCTTTTGTTTTTAGAACAAGTTTACCTCCTCCGTTACCAAAAGCGTATGTATGTATGAGCACAGTTTAATTCTGAATAAGCATAAAACATTTACGTGGTAACGCTGTTAACTTAGGAGTTAAAATGTTTGGTCTTAAATTAGCAGCCACTTTTAAGAAATTTGGCACCATAATTTAACTAGTGTTGTTTGACAAAAAAAAAATTTAACTAGTGTTTAGAAACTTTAATTCAAATGTATTTTCCTGTAAAAAACGTTGTTCATTTTTTTGTTTTTTGCAACTTCCAATTCTGATATTTTTTTCCTAAATATGTATAAATTTAATTAATAAATTTTAAATTGTCATTCCAAAATCCTAACTGCGTCATAAATTTTGTCGGATTTTTAATACCTTCACAATTGACGGACACTCTTCCACCGTGCCACGAACATACTCATTCTTCGGACCTCGTTTATATTGTTTATTAAAGGTGATAAATTAGAAAACCATTGTGCGTTGGCCCTAGTATTGAAAAGTTTCAGTTTTTTTTTCTTATAAATTTTAAGTTTTATGTTACTTCTCAAATTTATATATTTAAAAGGAGATGAATAAAGAGTTGTTCTGTCCGACCACGTCAGAAAGGAAGATAAGTGACAAAAAAACATATAGCTAAGGTGGAAAAAGGAATATAATTTGACAAGACACTCTGCAAAATAATTTGACAAAATGTACATGCATGCCAACCCTAATCGAAGGTAGTTCTTAGTCTTACGATTAAAAGTCGCCGACAATTTTTCTACAAACAGTTTAATCTCTCTGTTCGTGTCCAACACCATTATAAGGTGTCTTTGTTTCATGTTACACATCATTGTAACTCGGCAATAGCTATCGATACTAGGGTAAGTTTGTAGATAAGTTATCATCGAGTCCTGACAACTAATAAGTATTTCTAGTAGATTGATTTGATCAGCGTCATCAATCCAGTTGGGTTATCGATCCGTATTTGCTTCATAAATCAATTAGCGCTGTTGTGATATATTTAGGAAAGTTCCTCTACAAAAATCCTCACAGAAACTCAAACTAATCTTGAAGCTCTATAAAAACCAGTTTTTTAAGGTTGATTAAAACGTTTACTGTAGTCAATTAGCAACTAAAATTCGATCTATGAGAATTTATTAGATTTAAAAGAAGAATCATTTCCATTCGAATATTGCCACTCAACAACCACATTCTTTGGTTAGTTTTTTTTGGGTAAAGAATATTTGGTTAGTTAAGATATAGTAATATAATAATTAGTCATAAGCTCGACAAATTAGTATTGCCCACATGGGAAATGATGTCGGGCAGACATATATCCACATGCTCATGTAGGTCCTAAACACAAAAGTTTTATCCATTTTCACTTTTATTTGGTTATATATAAGTATATAAATATAAGTATTAGTCTATTAGATAACTAAAAAAGAAAAGAAAAAGTAACCAACGGCGAGTCGGCGACAAAAGTATGCTTTGGATTATTTTAAGGTCTTAATGTGACACAAAAGAATAATCTGAGAAGGAATTATGTCAATAATCAACATATACTATAGTTTAAGATGGTGGCTGGAGACCAAAGGCCACATTACATAAATAGCAGCGTGACTAGATTACAAGTCAGTAAATTTGATGCTCTTTGATTCGATTTGACTCTTATCTTAGGTGTCTCTTAGCTAGAGGTAGATATTAAAAGGATTTTTAGATAATAATATCCATCGACCATGCATTATATATATTTTTGATACGTACGTGCAGTTTTTCTTTATGTTTTCTTCGGATAGTTTTAAATTCTAAGGCTATCAAAATGTTTTGTAATTTTTAGATTATAGTCTTCAAATTCGGCTACATGCTACATGCACTTGTAATTTGGCTACATATACAGAAAAGCGGTATTTATAAAAAACTGTTTACAGTCTCCGAATATTCGTATACATATCTTTTTTTTTCGACGAGTTATAAAACATAATTCACTTATATACGTATTAGTTTTTCATAACTTGAGAAAATATAATAAAATGGTGGACAAATATATACTAATATACATACATATATATATATATACACAATACGTTTGTTGGGGTATATATGTATGACCGACAAGTCGTCTGTTCCTCCTTTGCTATAACAGGAAACTGAATGACAATTCTTTTTATGATTATTTGATAGTTTTTTTTTTGTAAATTTTGATATTTGTTAAGAGTCAAATTTTTTAATTCAGGTTTTCGAATCCATGGATGACATATATTATGAGTTCCCGATCTCCTCTCTCTTTTGAGGTATGTTTACTGATGAAACGTATCAGTAATATTATATCTTCTTGAAGATGTTTCTTTCTATTATTTGCCACATTAATTTGTGTTTAGTTTATTGTGTGAAGAATAACTTTTGGTATTAAGAAAAGTAAAGCATATGCATGAAAGCGACAATGCCTCTTCAAAACTCTTATCTATCCCTTCCAAAACCTAAGAAGGCACCTAAGTACTAGATTCTACTGATTCAATTAGCTATATATTTACTTTCAATTTTATTTTTCATCAAAAATATTAATTTATTTTAAATATATATATAAGGAAAAAAATTTGGACTTATAATCTTCTTTTTTTATTAAGGATGGATGCAAGGTGCATTTTGTTATATTTATGATATGTTACGTTCCGTTTGAATCAACATTATGTTAATATGTATCAGTTCCCCGATTGGTTGTTAACCCAATTTTTTGCAACATACAGAAAACATCAAAATCAAAATAATTCAAAAATATATATAAACTAAACAAAGAAATGAAAGAATATTTCATATAAGTTCAAACAAAGAAATGAACGATTCCACCAAAAAAAAAAACAAAGAAATGAAAGAATATTTCTTTTTTTTTTTGGATCACCAACAAATTTCTTCTAATGCTTATTGTGTTGATGAAGTTCCAATTTTGGATTAGATTACTAAATTAAAAAAAAAAAAAGAATAAATGCCATAATAAATTAAGAAGATACGTTACATCGTGCAATGACGGCGCCATATATACTCACATATCGCTCTCTCTCCCTCTCGAACTCCAATTAATATCAGATATACTTTATCAGTTTCATGTATGGATCAAACAAAGTATGGAGTTTGTGTTTGTTGGGTGCGTCCACGTAACAAGTCAATTCAGATATGGCGTTATAAACTAACTGTTAAAACTCTCTTTAAAGTGATGTTCATGTGGTGGCCCTAAAGAAGACAGATTCATTCATTCAGACGGCAAACTCTAGTGGCCACGTGCGCACTTCATGTTTTAGTTTTGCCTTTTCTCAAAATTCTATCTTAAACCTTGTCTTTTCTGCGGTGACGATTAATGGGACCCCGGCCGGCGATGTGTCTCCGCCGGATACATTGAGTCTAGAGCTATTCCGTGTTTCAAACATTGTTAAACATATTGCCATATTGAATTATTATTATTGTATTGTAGACTTGTAGTTAGATAAGGTTGCACTTAGTGTCATACGACCATTTGTGCATATTCTTCACTTATTTGGATAAGTAGTAGTTTTTAATCGATTCATTGAAATATCTTTTTTTTTTTTTTTGGGCTCAACTTCAACTTTCATTAACCAACTCAAAGTACACTTGGTTTATCGACCATTACATTGCTTTGTATCCAATTTGGCATTAACGAGTACAACTTAGGGTCATAGTTCTCGAAAGAAAGAGACACCTTTGCTATTAGGGATACAATATCCCACATTGGAAGTTGAGTAGGATCCTGACTAGTATATAAGATATATGGGTCTCTCCACTCATTGCCAATTGGTTTTAGGTTGGAAGCCCACAATCTAATATTTGCTACTTCATAAGCCACTCCATTACATCCTCTTGGAGTATAAACAATCTTAAAGTCCTCCACCGAAATATCTCTTTTGTTTCCAAATTTTTAACCTGACCATTAGTTACATTTTTCGCAAATTAATAATAGTAAAAACAAAACGAAAATTTCGACAAAATAATTAGTGAGAGTCATACGATTTATGGACAAAATATCCTATTTGATAGTATCTAGTATTATTTTTGTGGACTGTACTCTGTAGTATACAGTTTTTCTATTTATTCACGGCTCACGTTATAGTTAAATTAGAGTAATTATATGATTAGTTTTTCTACATTGTATTCTGC